AGTTAGGCTCTGATCTATGTGCTAGGCTAAACCTCCCGGGGCGACTGAGAACGTAACCTGTGCCAGGGTAGCAGATGCTGCTCCGCGCCTTAAGGAAAGAGGCTCCCAAGACGAGGTGTGTGCTGGTTCCGCACCACGCGGAGCCCCCCATCACAAACAGCAACTCGGGTGCATTTACACTCAGCCTCGGAGTGGCGGCTGGGAGGGGAAAAACCCTGAGCTYGGAGAGACTGGGCGCTGGCAACGGCTGCACAGCAGCGAGAGCAGCAGGACCAGAGCGTCTGCTCTGCATTACCTGACCCAACGGGGCCGCGGCGCCGCTGGTACCAACAGCAGTGCCTCGGGCCCGGGCTCCGACCCGTCACAGACCGGCCGGCTCAGCCACAGCGGCCTGTTGAGCTGCACGGAGAAACACGACGCGCTGCAAGGGCTGCCGACAGCCAGGGCTGCTCTCTCGCCTATAAAATATCCTGTAATAAATTACATTACAGACTGGGGAAAAGGATTCGGAAGAGAGAGGATTAAAGCACAACCTTACGAGAGCTAAATGAGACCAATTAAAAGAGATTTGCTACAAGTGCTGAGGGATTTTGACCTGAGCTGTAATCAGGGATGGATACGCATTCCTTTAAAACAGGAAAATGAGGGAGAGATCATGTGTAAACGACTCTGCCAATTAAAAAGAAACAGATTATGTTATCAGCACGGCTCCGAGCGTGGCGGACCCAGATCGCGCCTCCTCCGGACGCGCCGCGACGCTGGCCCGGAGCGGCCTTTAAACCTCGCGGACACACCGGGCCCTGTTGGGGCTGGGGGCACGCGCAGCAGCGGGGCCTGCCCTGCCCTGGGGCACACGCTGCCCRCTCCGGCACGGGATATAAGCGGCGGATGCAGCTTGGGGCTCAGGCCACATACAAACGGAGGCGTGTATGTGTGCGTATACATATATATATATATATTTTAACCAAGGCCTCTCTGTAGGCGCCAATGGAGACCAGTGCGCAGGTTGGGTGTCGCACAGCCCCGGTATCCGCCTGGGCCCCGACACGCAGCAGCAGCCGCAGGAGCGGCCGGCCGGGGCTCCCTGCCGCGGGGCAGCGCCGCGGACAGACCYGCTGCTGCTGCTGCCGGCTTCGCTCTCGCCCCCTGCAAGTTTCCTGCGATTCCTCGTCCGAGACTGTGCACAACAACAAAGTTTGGCAAGGGCTGAAATACATCAAGGAGAAAGGAAAGACGCAGTAGGAGCCTGCGTTGGAGAACAAGCAGCGAGGAGAATGCGAAATACTCAGGCGGGGAGCAGAAAGTAAAAGGGAGGAGGGAAAGAAAAAGGAATTTGGGAAGAGGGAGATTAGAGAAACGAGCAGCGGGAGCCGCAACACGCGGCCGGGAGCCGCGAACGCGCCCGCAGCCGCCGCCGGCGGAAAAGTTGGGCCGTTCCAGGCGCCCGGCGCGGCTCCCGCGGGGACAACCGCGGCCCCCGGGCCCCGCAGGTGCCTCCGCGCGGCGGCCTCGGAGCGGCGACCCCCGCGCGAG